AAAAAAAAAAAAAAAAAAAAAAAGCAGAAAAAGTATCAAAGGAGTCAGATGACGTGTATTAAATCTAACTTTGGAACTGGGCTATTAAATCTAGACTGCAGGAGTGGTTCGCCTGATTCCTGAGCATCAAGGGAATGTAGGTGAGGCACCATGGCAATATAAAGAAAGCGCCGACCTGATCTGTAAATTAATCAAGCTTGTAATATTGACTGATGGATTTTAACACCCAAAGTGTGTTAAGAGAATTTTGTCAACCACGGGTTAGGAAGTTAAATAAATAGCAAGGTTCGTCATCTGCCAAGCGACTCTTGGTACATTTCCTCCGAAGAATGGATCGCGTGTAATTTCCGAGGCAGAAACTCTGTACGAGGTCATGCTACTATTCACTTATTCGTTTGAGGCATCTCATGATAGGCACCCTATGTACAGAGAGCATTTAAGCCAGTAACTTAAGACACTAATCAGGACTAGAGTCCATGACATCACAGAGCCGATTCCTCATGTGTAAAATCGACTACCAGGCTTAACATATAACAAATAGTTAGGCTTCGCCAGCGAATACTGTGCACTGTTGGATTACAATAGCATTTACTCTAGGCTTTTGTAATCGAGAGGAGATGTTGCCGACGCAGCTTACTGACGCCGCGAAAACTGGCTCATGGACAGCATCTCCGTCCTTGTTACCTTCATTTCGGGATAACCAACGCGATGTATTCCGAAATACAGCTTATACTCATTGCTGTAGCCGCTTCCAAGAGGCAGATGACATATTTGGGCAAAGCTTCCTCCGATCTCATGTAATACTGACACTGGCCTTCCAGCATGGTGACATGCTCTCCATGTCTAGTCGAGAAACAGAGAGAGTCAGTCTACTTCACGCTACGCTATCCTCTTTGTCACCATCAGAAAATAGATCACCATGTCTATTCCTGCCCCTTCAGCAGATGCCCAGGAACGCTGGGCTTTCTATACTCTAATACCTGGGGTATATGCCTACTTTTAGTAACTCTACATGTGCCTCCATTCCTGTTGCAAAGTCAGACGCCAAAAAGCACAGAGATAAAGCATATTATGCCAAGTAATCAGCCAACTTGCGCTGCAGTATTCTGCTCCATATGTTGATTGTTTAAGGTAGAGGCCAGTGGTCCATGATAAACCTTGAAAGAATGTTAGAATGTTCCGCTGGGTATTTGAGCGATGGACCTACAGTTGTCATTTATATCTAATCTCCCGACCCCAGCGGGCGCCATCTGTCTGGACCACCGTGAACACACCCTCCCACTTTCGCCCATCATCCAGAAGGACCTCACCCTCTCCGTCCATGCTAACCCCAATCTGCTGGACATACGATCGTACCTCTTGCAGGATCTCCCGAGCATTTTCATATTCCCCGTTCCAGGCCTTAACTAGCATCGGACCCAATCGTTCCTCTTCTAAACGCTGTAGCTTGCCCTCCTTCAGTCGTTGCTTATTGTACTCCCATGTATTGACCTCCGCGGGCATCTCCATCGGATCCAATTGATCGGTAGGCATCGCCCACCTCTTCGCTCCATGACTGGACACATCCTTTCACACCAATCGCCAGACAAAGGTTGCCCAATCCGAGAGATCGATCTTCGGGCTGAGCTCTGGGTGCCCACTGTCTGGATTGGTTGGGTAGTAGATCTCTGTTTCGTGTCTCGTCCCGTCGGGAGAGTAGGGACATTCATCTGTCAGGATGGTTGCGTTCAAAAATCCGGATAGTGCAATCGAGACATCATCGCGAATCCATATCGTGCATGAGCTGAAACTCATGAGGTAGACCCCATGTTCATGCAGGAAAGCTAGCATGGCGAGCGATTGCAGCGCCCAGCGGTAGTAGAGCAGGAGGAGGGGCTCTCTGTCTCCATTCTTGGGGAAGTCTTTGTCATCGGAAGACGTGCGCGACGCAGGAAAGGTGGTCAGAAGTGGCAGAGTCGTGGCGCCCAGTGGGCCGGGGTCCAGCTTCTACAGCAGATATCCCACAGGGGGACGGCCAAGATATCTACTCCCACCACGCAGAATTGCGGTGTTCCAGCGACGATTGCAAGAGACGAACAGACGGGGAGGGTTTACTCACTTGACGATATAGGGATGAAGGTCAATCGGTTGGTCTCTATCCACATTCGGGGTATTGGTGCTATGTGCCAGATATTCATATACCCGGGGGATTCGCTTAGCAATGATAAACCACTCGTCGGGGTCAACACGGGGGTTTTCTTTCTCGCATTGTTGAAAGGCCACGATGCAGTCTTGATTGGCATGCTGCACAAAGTACATTTGTTCATACAGCTCGTCGTAAAAGCCCTCTGGGCGGTCGCTACAGACCGAAGGGACCACATCCCCGTAACAGCGAGGGTATTTGGACTGGCTGGGTGGATCGAGGTTCTGTTCTAGATCAGCGGCTGAGGATGAGGACTCCTCAGGGCGGTCTGATGACCAACTGGTGCCCATGGCGGCCACTTGATCTATGAAAAAAAAAAAAAAGAAAAAAGAAAGAGAGAGAGAAACAGAGGTAGCGGGTGGGATGCGCCCTTGTATGTGTTGAGCGGTATAACATTATTAGTGTTCGTCTAAGCTTTCTACGTTTAACATGGACCACTGGCCTCCATACCTTGAACCATCAACATATAATTAGAGTCTATGTGGCAAGTATATTTTGCGCCCCATTAGGCCCTAAGTACCTCAAGTACCTCGCTTACAGTGGGGCAATTCTTACCTGAGGTAACCACTGGCACATATTTATATATATTTAAATAATACTTTTTGTGATGCTTCAGTAAATTATATAATATAGAATATTTTCGGCCTGATTAAGAGCGAATAGAGGGGGGTGGCGGGCTGTTGAGCGGGGTTTCGTCGGGTTCTCGGGCTATCTCGCACGGGATTCGGAGCAGCCACCACGGAAAAATAATAAAAGATCTCCTCGCACTGTATGCATCCCAGGTTTGACCTATCCTACCCAAACCCCGGTATGAGAAAGCCTGGTCAGCAGGATGTCGAGATCTGCCACCAATAATATTCTCTATGCCGAAGAAAACAGCAAGCTCCCAGAGCTCTCGGTTGCATGTAGTAACTGTCGCAACCGCAAACTGCGCTGCTCCAGGGAAACACCCGCATGTCAACACTGCCGCAAAACTGGTCAGCCAGCACATTCATACTTCCGCTGTCTCATTAGACAGAAGCCGTTTCTTACAGTGTCACTAATCCAGTGCCGCCATAGGAAGCCACTGCGTGTACGATCCCAAACGGGCGAAGCCGGGGATTAAATCCGGGGCCATTGAAAATATACACCGACGGCTAGGTATGATAATGCAGAGTGCCTCTGCTGGTGAACGTAGAAAATACCACCACTCCGGTATTCTTGTTAGAAATTGTTAGAATTGCAGACGAGGCTCACGTGTCCGCCGCTAGATCGCCTAGAAGACTTTGTTCTCGACCGACTGGGAGACAATACGCCAGACGAGTCCAATCAACGAACACAGCCGAGTGCAAACCAGTCCACGGCAGGTTCTGTTCTCTCTGCGCTGGCACGGGAACTTCAGGCATTCAACGACAAGCCGTCACCCGAGGCCGCTGGTCGCCTAGCTAAACGACAACGGGTAGACGCCCAGGTCGGCCATTCTCGGTCTTCGCTGCCGGACGTCGATCGCCGCTTAGTACTTGATTTGCTCAACCCTAACACGATTGAAGATGCTTTGCAGACATACTTTAAGTATATACACCCTTGGATCCCTCTTGTCCACGAGAACAGCTTGCGTAGACGACTTTTCGATCCACGACATAGGTCAAAGCTTGACGTCTTGGTGCGAGCTATGATATTAGTATCTGGGAGATTCATACAGCGGCACGAGGCCATATCCGACATCTCCGTGGCGGGTCTGGCTACGGAGCAGGCCAGGAGTCTGGTCGTTTCGACTTCGATGGATTGCTTAAGCGTTGAAAATCTCCAGGCACTCGTAATTTGTGTGTTTAATGATGTGAGGTTTCCCGATTCCAATCATATTCACGTATCACGAGAGATTATACATTCTGAATGCTGTCAACTAACTTAGACCTTCAGATTGGAAATGGGTGGGGGGAAAAGGCATGGTCTCTAGTCGGATCGCTGACTCGTACTGTCGAATATTTAAAATTGACAGTCGAAGACGAGGACTGCCGAAGCCGTACATCAATTGCAAGGCCGTTTATCTCTCTGTCCCCTCCGCAGAGCTGGGTTGAGGCAGAGGAGCGACGCCGTGTGTTCTGGAATGTATTCAACCTGGACCGGTTTTGCTCTGTGGCAATGGGTTGGAACACTAGCCTTACCTCGGACGATGTGCACCGCCGTCTTCCTTGCGATGGGGTCTATTGGAGAAGAGATAAACCCAAGGTGACGGCCTTTTTTGGCATCTGGGACAAGTCAGCGGTGCGGATGGGGAATCCTGTTACCTTTCATCCGGCCCATTACGTGTCTCCGCAAGGTACAGTGACTCATGAGGCCCCGGAACAGAGTCTAGCCGACCCCAGTGGCTCTGTCTCATCGCCGGAAGATCCCCTGATGGAGGCTGCTGGGGCTTTCGCCTACCGCATCGAGGCAACCGAATCGCTGAGCCGCGTCACGACCTACTTCCTTCAGCAAAAGATCGACACGCACAGCCCAGAGAATGTCACCAGCTGGCTCACACGGTTCAAAGAACTCGACCTGCGCCTTGTCCACTGGAAGATGCTGCTTCCGAAGAAGTGGAAAGCCGCGAACTCCACCAACACAACTGTCGGTCCTTACGACACGACCAACCAAGACGGCCCACCCAGTGGCAGTGGAGGAGCAGCGGGGCTTGATGTCGATGCCAGACACCAAACAGTAGTGATGGATCCAAATCTCACATTGGCACACATCACCCACAACGCTTCCATGATTCTCTTACATCAGCCGATTGCGTTCCCACCCCACGACTGGGCTTTCCGCAGCCGATTACCCAGCAGTTGCTCTGCAGAAACCTGTCAGCAGGCGGCTGTTGAAATTGCCACTATTACTGAACAATATCTTAAAATGTCTCCCGCAACCTTCCCCGTCTATCCCCAGTTTTCATTCTGCGTATATGTGGCAGGCCGACTCCTGCTAGCCTATAGGATCTACTACAGTGGAGAGAGCACTGCTCTGTACTCCAGATCAGATGTGAATGACAGGTTCTGGACCCTGGTCCGAAGCCTTGATGAGATGTCGCGTCGATGGAACGGTAACATTATGGTCATGCCAGAGACCACAAGTTTGGCCGAGGACCTGGCGGCAAAATACGCGTCAAAGTTGAGGGAGATGAACGATATGTGCACACAGGGCCTAGGCTACAAAATAAATGTCCTGGATTACACGCAAGATATCGACCATTGTAACAGGAAGATCGACCGTATTGTGGGGGATCGAGTACATGTGTCAACTCCAAATGACGCGACTCGACAGCCATATCTACACCTGCAGGCACAGTCAGAACACAACTCCCAAGGAGTTGGAAAGCCCAAGGAGAACCATCCGAATGACAATCTCATCAATGCGGCACCGGCTATGGCATTACCCTGCCCTTCAACCTCAATACAGCTTCCTAGAAATCCTAATGACCAACATCAGACAATGTACGGGCAAGAAACTAACTCTCCAGGGAGGGATCCAGCGCCCTGCGACCTAGGTGCTATTTCACAAGTATTGCTGGGCCATCAATTCATGGATTTGGACCGGATTATCAGTTTTGATAATGGAATGTTCACTGCCAATCTAGAACAATATTGGTGAAGTGTGATTAAGGGGCCAATTATACTCTACATAGGCCGTTAGACAGTATATATTTCGCTGTATCATAGGCCGGTACTATGGGCTATGTGGAAGTCGCATATCTAACTATGTTCCTGGTTCTTGGTAATACTGCACGGGTCTATACTAAGCCCATGCGCATCAGCTCGTTTCCAAATCTCACCAAGTAATAATCACCATACACGAGGCCATGATTCGCATATCGCCTCCTCGCATGCTTATTGTTGTTAGCCGTCCCATGCTTAAGGATCGCATCGAACCGCTTTCCTTGCATTACGTCCTCCACGGCCAGGCCTTCTTTCAACTCCTCTCCGTCTCTCCCAGGAACAGTTCGAAACCGTGCAGTCTCCCTCGCCAGTGAATAGTCCAGCGTACCTCGTATCAACTGCACCGCTCCGTCAAAAAATCTCGTTGCAAGCGATGTCTCTCTCTTAGCAATCAGGGCTTGCGACAGCACGAGCAACCCATTCGCCGCGATGGCTGCGGCGCTGGAATCCCGCACAACTTCCTGGCCCTCATTCTCCTCCATCGGAGCATCAAAGTCCCATGGTGGGGAGGTGTACTGCATCTGTCCACCTCTGGGTCCCCGTGCAACAGGGTGCGTTTCCAACCTATCCAGAAAATACTCTGCCGTGCCGCACGCCACATCCAGGAACTCTCTGTCCCCGGTCCACGTGTAGGTCTGTGCATACCCTAGTATTGCCCAGGCCTGACCGCGAGCCCAGGTGGACCCGTCACCGTACCCCTGCGCTGTCATACGACGCTTGATGTCTCCAGTTTTCGGATCGATACATGTGACGTGGTTGGTTGAGTATAGCTGGCCTTTATACCTTCCGAACGTGGGTTGTGGGAGATGCGGCTCTGGACGCAGATGTGTGCGTATCACGGTGCGGGCATGCGCGATGGCGATCTCCGCGAGATGTCCGGAAGAACTATGGGCGGCGGCATAGAAGAGTAGGTCCAGGTTGCACAAGGAGTCGATGATCACGATAAGATTGGTACTCATATCTGTGATCCGTGTGTCCTTCCTGATCAAGAGATCCCAGCTACGGATAGCCTTCGCTGAGGGAACATACCTCGTTGCCAGGCTATTAGCCGCCCTGACAATAGATGCCAGGCTGTCGGAGTTGCCAAACAGCTCCCAATCCTTGCGCAGCGCAGGCATGACAATGAAGCCTATGTCATGTGTGTCCGTCCTGCTGGCCATGTTGTGCAGCGGCTCCGACCATTTTTTACACATGGCACGGAGCTGATCTCGCCTCTCCTGTGGCGATGAATGAAGGAAGTACAAGGCTGACTGGGGATAACGGACTGTCCGTTCAAGCAGCTCGTACAGGGTCCCGGGGAAGAAGCCGCAGGTCCAGAAGTCTGCCTCACGGAGATGGTATAGGCTTGGCTTCTCGCCGTGCTGGGGATTCTGGGGCACGTATTCTGGAAATGCGCGAGGGAACTTTATCGCACGTTCCTCGAGTGTCGCATCAGCATCAGGGAGAGACTCGCATGCGACACGCCAGACCTTCGCCAAAATGTTCTCAGAAAAGAGTTCTGCAAGATGCTCCTTTAAATTTGGATCTGCTCTTGAGAGATCTGCGTCTAGGCGAGGACCTTCAGCGATTTCACCGACAGAAATGATCTCATTGGATTCAGGTGTGTGTGGGGATAGGATGGA